TTCAAAGGGGAGTTCTCGCGGAAGGCCGCGATTGCTGGTAAGCTCCAGCCTCCACGTGTCGGCCATTGTCGTGGGGGCCAGGAGCGAGAACTCCGTGACGTCCTGGGGACTGGGGTCTGCCCGGTATGCCCGGGTGAGGAAGTCGGCCGTGCCCTGACAGCTGAGGCCGACCGGGACGCCTCTCACCTCCCACACAATGGGCTTAGCCTGTTGCTGGTTCTTCACCAGCAGCTCCACTTCCATCGGCTCCATGTTCGAGGTCAATTGCACCCCAGGCACGCGCAATCGCCCGTTAACGATGCGCCTGGCCACTGTCAACGCTGCTAAACCTCCTTTTGGCACAAGGATGGAGAGTTCCATCACAATGTGCCGTTCCCTTCCCATCGGATAAAGCAACCGTTTTTGAATGCGCGGGCCTCCCCAACGGTTGAACTCCTGGTTGCTGCGGAAGATTTGGCCAATTGTTGCCAGAATTTGAAGTCCTAATGGACCGTATATTTGCGCGATGATGTCGCCCGTATCTGAGCCCGCTGGCCACCGGACTGTCACCACGATCGGTTCCAGTTCTAGTGTGGCTCTGTAGATAGCCAAGCCTTCATTTGTTTCGTAAAAGCCATTGACGGCCTTTATCTTTTTGGTCGGTATGGATTGCGGTCTCGCGGCTGAGGTCGGCTGGCGGCCATTTTGAACATTGCCGCGGCTAACAGCCACTGCTGGTCGCCTCTGCGACATTTTCAGGCTAATTAGATAACCATAACTACGCTCATACAATTGAGGTCGCTGTCGGTGGCCACGGCCGCGGTTGGCCGACGGTCATAGTAGCAGCTTAGTCAAGCTTGGTCTCATCCATACATGTATGTATGTATGTATGTATGTATGTATGTATGTATGTATGTATGTATGTATGTATGTATGTATGTATGTATGTATGTATGTATGTATGTATGTATGTATGTATGTATGTACGTATGTATGTGTGTATGTATGATGTGTGGGACACGGGGGTTCATATCTTCCCCTGCGGCCGCTACCTGGCAGACCCCCTGCCTTCCCCGCGGGTATTTCGGCGACCTGGAGTTGGCACCGGGGAGCGTTACTACGTACTGGACGAGCAAGGTCCTAGCTTTTCTTACCAGCCTAGCTCCCCCTCCAGGGAGGGAGCGGAACCCCCCACTAAATATGCGCGGTGATGATCTCATAGCGCATTGCATTATGCCACCTTTAAATTGCCAGTAGAGAGCATTAATTCTTAAGGTATTTGCTAAGTGGCTTGATGCACGGTGGGAGTGTCCGAATACCCTCCCTAGGTGGCCCCGCGTTTTCCCCGTGATTGGCATTACCCCCCCCGTGTAATCACGTCTTGTTACTTGTCGCGGATGCTCCTCAATGGGTGCAGGTACTGCACATCGGCATGAACATCGCCCAGGCCCTGTCGTACCTTCACCCCACTATTTTGCACCGAGGTACGAACAACACACTGTTTAACCTGATGACGACGAAGAAGAAGAGGAAGTAGCAGCAGCTAGGTGGTCTTACTTGCTACAACCCGCCGGCAGCGCAGGCTGGTAGCTGCTGCTCCCCACCCCTCGCCAGTTATTCCCCTCCCCCAATCCCTCCCTCCCGTACCTACCTACATACGTACATACGTACGTATTCTCCTCCGCCAGCCCACAAGCTGCTGGCACCTGTTTGTCTACCCACAAACCACCAAACGACGCCTACCAACCGAATAACCACGCCCACCTCCAAAACCCATTTTCCCCCCCTCACACACCAAACACACACATCCCTCCATTACACCTACCACTCCCCGCCTCTCTCTCTCTCTCTCTGCACCTCCCAGCTCTTTTCCCTTTTCTCTCCTCCTGCTCTCGTTCCGCGTGTGTCCCCGCACCAATACTTATTTGCGTTCCGGCCTCCGTACGACCTCTGTACGTACGACATTACACGCACGCAGACCTCAAACCAGCCAACGTGCTCATCGCGCAACCTGACAGTGACAAACCCATTGCCAAACTGGCGGTGAGTGATGAATACTGGTGTGTGGTAGTTAGTGGTAATGAATAGAAAGCAAGGACGTTTTATGCTATGTAGGCCTACATGGTTTAGATATATGTGCATATACTAACGCTTATCTAGGGCTGCGTTACTCATGACGGTGACGTTCTCCCGCCCTCCAAAAGCACAAATATGCCAGCACTGAAGCTTACACACATACATACACACATACATACACACATACATACATACACACACCCCAAACCCCCAACCCCCCCCCCCAAAACTCAAACCTAGGACTTTGGGTTGTCGCGACTCCGTGATACGGTCCTGATGACGCAGAACCCCGAGGTTGGCACGGTGAGGGGGGTGGGGGGGCGGGTGTGAGGGGTGTGAGATGGGGTGCGGGGTGGGGCGGGTGGGGTGCGGAGCAGTACGGGTTAGGCAGGGGGGAGGGGAGAAATAGGCAATGGGCCCGGAGTCCGGGTATGCCATGCATGTGAATTGGTCAGGAATAGTAGGAGGGAGGGGATACGTCCCCCCCCCCCCCCAGTCGCCATCCACCGCGTGGCGGGTATCGTGTGTATGTGGTACGTGGGGAATGGGAAGGGGCCGGGGTCTCATCTCACGGCGGCAGGGGGGGGAGTGTCATGTCATGTCATGTCATGTCATGTCATGTCATGTCATGTCATGTCATGTCATGTCATGTCATGTCATGTCATGTCATGTCATGTCATGTCATGTCATGTCATGTCATGTCATGTCATGTCATGTCATGTCATGTCATGTCATGTCATGTCATGTCATGTCATGTCATGTCATGTCATGTCATGTCATGTCATGTCATGTCATGTCATGTCAACCCCCCCAGGCCTGCCTGCTATCTCGCACTGCACGGCGCTGCACTGATGGCAGTCACGCACTCTTTCCGTACACATCCGTACACATCCGTACATTAGGTCTTCACGGATCTGAGCTCCACTTCCGACCCGACCGTTGCATTTCCATAGTACAGGTGTCGTACAGGCTACAGTGGCAACAGGGCCGTTGACCTCAGGTCCCGCGTCTTTTGCTTTCCTGATATTGTTCCGTACTGCCATTTTGCCGTACAGGCGCCGTACATGGCTCCTGAAATCTTCGACCTTAGGAACAACATTTTCACCGACCGAATGGTGAGTACTTGTTGGTCCGTGCACGCGTGTGTGTGTATGCATGTATGTGTATGTGTATGTGTATGTATGTTACATATTTGCCTGGCCGACACTGACTGGGCCATCTAAATGTACCCACCGGGGAGACCAACGAAGCACTCTGCTCCTGTTGCGGAGGGTTCTATTGTTCAACCGTTGCCTACTGCATCGGTTGGAATCGTAACCGTTCTCCCTCACGGCGCCGTCACCTGTTCGAATCCGCTAGCCAGCGACATACACCCGCGCAGAGGCCAAGCAACCCCCATTCCACCGAAAGCGCGTGCTCTACAGCTGCGCAACCTACCAATGCACTCACACCGGCGCCAATCGCCACTCCATCCCTGCGAAGACGACGAAGACGAGGAAGAAATGCTGTAATAGGATGTTAACGAAGCGACCACCATTTCACTGTGCGACGAGCTGTCTGTGTATGTATGTATGTATGTATGTGCGTGTAGTAGCGGTGTGGGCGTCACCGTCAGCAGCGGAAAACGCTTCAGTTGCCCGAAGTCGATCCACTTGCAGTGCCAGCACTGCAATATGGTGATGTAAGGAGGACCCCAAGACTCCTAGAGACTTACAAGATGTGTGATGTGTCATCATCATCATCATCATCATCATCATCATAATAATAATAATAATAATAATAATAATTAATAATAATAATAATAATAATAATATCATTAAATAAAATATTAGCGTTAATATTTACATGAAATGTAAAATGTGCGTATGTGAAGCGAGCCAGGAAACGCCCTCGGCCTTCATTATGGACGAAGCATGGACGAAGGTGAGGGCAGCTGCGCCGGACGGTCAGTTGGATGAGGAGGGGTACCCAAGTAAATACGGCTGCAGGCTGTCGGCTGCAGCACGTTACCCTCTCCTCTCCGCTCCCCCCCACCCTCCTCCTCGTACACACACCCTCACCATCACAGTCCCCCTTCGGCTCGGCCCTCCATGTACGGCATGTACGGCATGTCCTCCATCCAGGACATCTACGGATTGGGCGTAATCCTGTGGGAGATGCTGTCGTACAAGAGGCCATGGGAGGGACTTAATGTCGTACAGGTTAGTTGGACATACATATTGGCATGTAGTGCAGGTATATGGATGGATGGGTGGATGGGTGGATGGATAGGCAGGTAAGTAGTCAGGCGGCGAGGTTATTGACCGCCAGGTAGGTAGCCAGGTAGGTAGCCAGGTAGCACGAACGGCGTTTTAAGAGTTCAAGGTAGTCAAGAGCCCTAGGGAAGCCCTAGTTTAAGTAACAGGTACACCTCCTCTCACCCCCCTCCCGCTCTCTCCTCCCCTCCAACCTCGCACCGCGACACTGCTACTCGCCAGTTCCAATCCCATGCAGTGTCGTACACATAACGTGTTCGTTATCATGTGGATTTGCAGATCGCCTACCAGATTGCGCTTATGAAGGTACGGCTTCCGCTGCACCACCTGTCCGACGAGCGCTGTCCCCGCAAGCTTAAAGCGCTCATCTGGGACTGCTGGGACCCGGACCCGGCGAGGCGGCCCGCGGCGGCGGAGGTGGTGAAGGCGCTGGCGCTGGTGCAGGAGGTGGGGGGATACACCGGTGATTGGGTAGTTACAAGTTACAAGTCTCAAGTGCTGCACAAGTGCGGGGAGGTCCGTCAAAGCCGGGAGGCCATGGACTATATATATTGAAAGTTGATTACACCGTACGACCGACGGCGGTTTGGGTCCTGCCAACTAGACCCCGCCTCATCCAGTCACCCAACATCCGTACAGACAGCCATCAGCCATCACCACCATCGCAGCATGCGAAACTTAGTCCATCAACTAGACCTCATCTCCACACCTCAGAAGCGTTAGTAAACCTAGACCTCCCGAACAATGCCGGGGGTCTGACCAGGAATCGAACCCGGAACCTTCATATACACAAAGGCGCCACCAGACCAGACCAAAAATTTGGAACCATTTCTCGATTTGTGGGTAGTAGTAGTTGGCCGGTCGGACAGTTTTGTGATCAGCTAGCGGGAGGTAAGGCGCTGGTGACGCCAGTAGCACTAATGCAACATGTGCCGTCTTTGTCTTTTCCGTGGGTGCGATCGCCGTACATATATGTGTCTGTATAGAGTGTGTGTGTGTGTGTGTGAAATGGCCAACTGCTTCCCTAGGGGTATGTATGTTGTTACAGGGTGGTTAACTTCGCCAGCGGCCCCCTTTCCCGGGGCAGTCCCTGCTCTCCCCTGCTAGAGGGGCACCCTAATCCGTCACCCCATCCGACTTCAGAATGTATTCGTTGGGTTCGGCAACTCACCACCAGCATCCAACCAAATCTAGCGGATCAACGGCGCATCAACTTAGTTCCTGGTCAGCTCGCAAGTTGATATGGGGTATGTATGGGGTATGTATGTATGTATGTATGTATGACGTTGATTACACTGTGGGCTGAAAAGCCGGGGGCCCAGGGCCGAAGCACAGCGCGGGGGGCGGGTGCATACGGCTGGTTAGTCTCATGCACTCCGCCCCCGGGTCAGGCCGCACGGGAAACGACGGCCGGCACGCAACAGCGCTTGTTTGGCGCTCCAACTAGACGGGATCTATGCCCGTTGGTCTCCTAACATAAACGAAGTCGCAACTGGGGGGCTCTTCCTGCCGACCGAACGAACCGAGCATCTCAGAGAGCTCGCTACCAGGACCTGGGCGACCGGGAGCCCGACGAGTCATCCCGGGCTGGGGAGGTCACCAAGCTCAAAAATCCTCACGCAAAAAAGAGCGCAAAGAGCTCACACCACAAGACGCCAAACAGCCTCCTTAGACTACTACCCTCCTCCGCCTCTCCCTCCCTGGGCTAGTCCAGGGGAGATAGCCCCCGTCGAGGGGGTAACACCGCACAAGTCCGCGCCCTTCCACAGCACTGGGTCTAACTTGGAAAGTACTCAAACGGGAAGACCCTGCGGCAACGCAGGGCGATCAAGCCTCCGGAAACCACAGGGGGGGAGGGTAGCCAGCTCGGCGCCCCCCCAATACCGCTCTACCAAGACGGCTGGTTCCCAAGATCCTATCTCACCTAGACGCCGCAACACGAAAAACCCGGTCTCGTACCCTGAAGAACCTAGTCCTGCACCACGCGCGCACCTTCGAGTACGGCCCCCCCTTCTGGGTGCCCACCTCCCCCTCATCCGCGCCCTCGCTACGGCCACCTGTTTCCACTCACCACCCCTCAACCCTACATCCTCTTGGTGTACTCTCTACCTCTTCCCCTCCCCCCCCGGCTCTCCCCGCCCTTTCCCCGGTCTCCCCCCCCTCCGCCGGTACGGCTCCCCCAGGCAAATAAACCCTCCCTCCCCCATGTCCCCTTGCGCGGCACCCCCCCAAGCCCCATCCCTGATCCCGCCCCCCTCGCAACCTATCCCCTCAACCTCCCTCTCGACCTGTTATATGTATGTATGTATGTATGTATGTATGTATGTATGTATGTATGTATGTATGTATGTATGTATGTATGTATGTATGTGGTGAGGGGGATAAAACTAGGGCTCCGGCAAGGCAAGGAAGATCAGATGGGGGAGGGGTAGAAACCTAAAACCCTAAAACCCTAAAACCGCTTAAGGGTAAGGGTTTGGGGATGGAGAGGAAAGGTGGCGACCCGGGATGTGTGTTGCCGAGGTTTTCTACTTGCGTGTTTTGATATACTTTATTGCTACCATGATCGCGGGTATCCTAGGAATATGTGTACGCTTGTGCATATGTATGTTATGTACGTATGCATGTCGGTGGTCACTGGGAGCGAGGACGTGTGCGCTTGTGTGTATGTGTGTGTAGGTTACACGTATCTGACCGGGCCTGACACTGCCCATAGAGCCTGCTGGAACCCAGGGCCCCGACGGAAAGACCGCCTGGCTAAGCTCTCTTCCCCGCGGGCGGTGCCTCTGGCACACACCCCCTAAGCGGCAAGGAGAGCCGCAGGTCCGCTAGCTCCGCTCCCCTCCCCCTCAGGGGGGAGGGTGAAAGCATCGCACGCGCGCACACGCGTTCACTGAGCCTCTGAAACACACAACAAGACTCCCCTCTCCATCCCCGGCCTGATCCGGTTCTCGGGGCGAGGGCTCAGTAGACACAGGAAACCCGGAAACCCCCTGTGTGTATGCAGCATGTGCAGCCCCCCCAAACTCCTCGTTTTTCCCCCATCACTCACCGCCCCAAACCCACCTCTTATCCCACGTGCCCCCTCCCCCGATTTCCTAATAACACACTTACCTGATTCGTTGCTGTACCTGCATCTGCACATTCACCCTGCCAGGCAACTCTGGGGTTTAATAAAAATATCTCTCATGAAGTCCTCCTACAACTCAACCTCTACTGAAACCCCCTAAACCTCTGGCTCACGTTTTCTTGTGCAGTCCTGCCGCGTTGATCCTAATCGCAATAAACTGCAATCATCATCATCGGCATCGGCATCGTTCAAGATGATATGATGAGAATGTTGAAGTTGGTGACGATGGCTCCTCGGTTACCGCTACCTAGCCGGCAGCTACGTAGCCGGCGGCGGCGGCTGCTTTGGGCAAAACTGGATGGCGGCAACCGGTCGCGGCACTGCGCGATGTCTTCGGTGATGGTGATGGTGATGGTGATAATGATACATAGATGTTTTTGTGTCAACCGTACTTCTCATATGTCATCAATATCACGTTATCGGTGTCTTATCTATGTCTGACATAACGGATATGTATGCATCATGATGTGCATCACCCGCCCTGGATGGCATAGAATTAGTTCGGCCTGCAGACGACTCTATCTCAGCCAGGTCTGTACGTACGTTTATATTCGTACTATGTGTCGTGTGCACTTTTTGCATACATCTATCGTTTGCTCGCATGGACGCCATAAAGCACTAATTTGTTTTATCATCATACGCATCTCATCATCATCATCACCATCATCGTCTGCATCATCTGCTGCTCGCTCGGTGTATATAGTTGGTAACGGATATCTTTGCAGGCAGCATAATGGCGGCATTTATATACGAATGGAATTTACGGCTGTTGCTGCTGCTGCTGCGGAAAAGTAGTCCCCCAGCTAAATATACATAGCTAAATAAAAGCATTCTTCCTTTTTTTGCACCTACATGATCACCAATGCATCCCCCGTTTGCAGCTTCGTAGTTTTTTCATTCTTTGCAGCTCGTTGATATTACGCAAAATGCCATAAGGCTACTGCGCCGAGGACTACTTCTGCTGCTGCTAGCCAGGTCGCTCATATCCATCGCCATCGCCATCGCCATATCAGTCATGTCCTTCTATCGTATGCATGGTAGATATCTCTCTACCTATCTTAGCGGCACCTGCACCAGGAATTCCTCCGCCTCCCCTCCCCGTCTTGTTTGCTTTGTGAGACGGCATGACATACATACAAATCAGTAGCAGTTTCGTGCTGCTGCTGTTAGCTCTGCATCAACGTATGTATTATTTTAGGGATGAATCGCTTATTAATGTATTTGTTGCGTTGTGTCGTTCGTTACTATGAACCCATGAGTTCATGATCATGCGCTTTAGAAAGTACTTATCACATTATCCTATGTATCAAAACATATGCCTCTACGGAAGGTACGTCTGGCCCCCCGCTCGTCCTCATGCAGCCAAGGCAGGGTGTGTGGTTGCGTTAGTCAACGGCTAGCTATAGGGGCAGCAGCGGTGGTGGTGGTGGTGGTGGTGGTAGTGGCGGTGGGGGGAGGGCGGACACCTACCGCCTGCAGGCTTAGCGAGCATGTGCTTGACCGATACATATGCGTGCATATGCACGTTCGTGCATGCGGGCGTGGGCCGATGGCACATGTTCCGTGTTGATCTGAACCGCGATGTGTTCGTTCCATGTATGTGTTCGGCGTGATGCCGTCCGCCGGGGCGGTGTACTTTATCACGCCCTACCCCCTCTTACCTCCGAAGGGGCAAAACCACCCAAAATCTCATCGTGTTATTGGAGGTCTTAGGCTTTATTGTTGATTTTGTTTTCTTTGAAGTTCCTAGCCTCCCCACCACGTAACTAGCAGTAAAGCCGATTCGACCGTGACGGTTGATATCTCATCGATGTTTATCTAGATACAAACACAGAAGCTCTGTTCTATATTATATACATATTAGGTCAGTAAAGTACAAGGAAACGCCTTGGCATAGCTCGCTAGCGTCGGTATATTACAAATCGATACCGGTCGTGGTAATATTTCGGGCAAACAGCCACGCATAATATTCAAGCATATAATGCTAAATCTTAAACTGTTGATATGAGCTATCAACTCGTTATGCTGCGAGTGTGGCGAGACATTCCCAAACACATTGGAAGCCTTCATCCATTGCCGCGATGACAAGTTGAAGAGTTAGGTCCCTGGAAGGAAAATAAAGATAATATTTCGGAAGTACAATGACGCGAAGCGGTCTTCGGAACGGCCTTTTGCTGGCGCTTGTCTTCGTCGCGGGGACAACGCACCTCGCGAGTACCGCAAGCCAGACTGTGGCGCAGTCAGGTATCGGGGAATCCAACGGAACAAAAGTTTCAAATTTAAACTCTTAAAAACAGCATATCCTTGCAAACAATAATACATCCACTGAACCACCGTTTACTTTTTCACTCGCTCATTTCGCCGGATGTGCGTGCGTTTGAACATGCTGGCACAATGCTGGCCAACGGGCGTAGAAGATGCAGATGATGCTGCGACAACTACAAGTGTCAGCTTGGCGTCATCGCCGCTACAACAGCAGCAGCGGCAGCGGCAACGGCTGGCGCAGCAGCGGCCCTTCATCTCGGTAATGAACCCCAGCTCTGCATCCAGCAGCGATATACAGAAATTGTACGAGCAGGCGGCTAACATTTCCGCCATCGCCTACCTCCTGTTCGCCTCCGCGGAGCCGCTCTCATATGCCCAGGGTGTGTCGGCGCTCTTCCGCTCCCCTTCCCTTCTCTTTCCTTCCCTTCGGCCATGTGGCGGTCTTTTTAAAACGACTAGAGCTATTGGTGAAGTATTATGCCACCCGGTTTTACGGACGGCGACCCCCGCTTGTGTACGAAACTTGTAAAAATCGTATTAGGTTTAAGTAGTTGAGTAGTGATGAGCTAGTAGTACTGATTAAGGTTAGAGTGAAAAGTCGGTTAAATACCTGTTTCGGGATTAGCGTCAACTGGACCAGGAAAGGGATCACCTGCAAGGACCACGAGGGGACTTCAGGACGGTGAAATACTACTATCGAACCCCATGTCCGACATATATTTTTATTGAAAAAAAACATTATTGCCTGCTGGCTACCCGGTCCCTGTAGGCTCGTCCAATGCCCTGCTGCCGTACCTGGCACCAGTCGTACTTCAGCTGTATGCGTCGCTTCCAGAACGCTGCACCTCGCCGGTGGTCAAAGAGCTGTACGGAATTTCGTGGTACTTGTACGGCTCATCTCCTGGCCTTCAGGTGTGTATGTGGCCCTGTGTCTTACTTGGTTAAGAGTAACGCAGGGGGAGCGGCCTGCGAACAGGATGCGTGTCTGTCTGTCTGTCTGTCTGTCTGTCTGTCTGTCTGTAGGGGAATATATGGGCTTCCCCGGCCGCAGGGCTTTGTTTGCTAGCCATACATGCCTGACCCGACAGCGGCATGTGGTTGGTTACTCGGTTCGTTGGGTTGTTAGTTGCGTATGATTAATTAGGTTATTGTTAGTTGGATTCTTAGTTGGATGGTGATCCATTTTATGGGAATGCCTTCCAAACTTCCAGATTTGTACACTCGTTTGCCAGGTGATTCACCCCATCAGTAAGGCCCATCTCGCCATTCCGTATTACTGCTCATGACAGGATACATAAACAAGGCGCGAGCATGGCACCATGCATGCATCGTGCCTACGTGCTCTGGTTTGTCTGGCTGTCTATCTATCTCTGTCTATCTGTCTGTCTGTGCGTAAGTATGTACATCTGTCCACACCTACCCTACCCTACCCTACCCTACCCTACCCTACCCTACCCTACCCTACCCTACCCTACCCTACCCTACCCTACCCTACCCTACCCTACCCTACCCTACCCTACCCTACCCTACCATACCCTACCATACCCTACCCTACCCTACCCTACCCTACCCTACTCTGCCAGTTTGCTTACCCGTCTACTGCCTCTTCCCCCTTCCACACACACCACACACACCACACACACCACGCAACACACACGCAACGTTGCCGGCCGCTGCACATCGCCTTCACCCGCCCGTTGCCCTCTTCCCGCTCTCCCCCCCCCGTACAGGCATGCCAATATGATCTATTCCAGTCTCTCAAGGCCATATTCTCCTGGGTACGACAAAACACCCCGCTACGGCTGCAGTACATCCCAGATCAGCCCCTTGCAACCGCCGCCTGGCCCGACCTGATCCTGAGGCCCCCCCTGGAGCTCTCCAAAGCCCTGTCTGAGGCGCTGTCAACCCCGGGGGGAGAGTTGGGTAGCGTGGCGGCGGTGGTGGCGGCTCGCTGCGGCATCACACCTGGCGACCTGGCGGCGCTGGTGCCGCGTATCTCCGCCGCATTGGACGGACTCCACGTCGATCTGGAACTGCTGCAGCAAGTCTCCCGGGGGCTCGCGGCGTCCGGGATGACATCATCCGCTGATGCGGGCGACGGCGGCGCCGCCTCCTCGAGGCGGAAGGAGGCGGCGGAGGCGGCAGCAGAGGGGCTGATGCCACGTCATCCACATCGACGTCAACAACCAACAGCAAGACCTGCTAAAGACAACGCTCATGTTTCCAACGATTTTTCTTCTTCTTCTCCTGCTGCTGGTGCTGGTGCTGCTGCTGATGATGATGATGACGATGATGGTGATGATGGTGATGATGACGATGATGGTGATGATGTTTCTGGTATTAGGAGCAGTCGGCGAAGAACGCAGTCCACATCGAAGAGCAGCAGCGACAGCGACCCCGTGTATTTGTTGCCGCCTGGCATTAACATGACGCCCGCAGCCGCCATGCCGGCTCTGCTGATTCCTCTGGTGTTTCATGTCATGCTGTACAAGGACTCCGGAGGCGGTGCGATCGGGCCCGCAGATTATTTGAAGGCGCCTGTATATCTGGATCGTATGGTTCGACAACTGAACTTGATGTCCAAACCGACAAATATGCAGTTTTTCATCAAGGTGATGACAAGAATTGAACATGTTTCTCAATTTGTCGCTCCACGCCTCCATTATAAGCGTTGATACGTTTGTTTACTAAAGCCACCTACTGGGGAGAGGAGGGGAGGGAGAGAGAGAATCCTCTTGAAGGCGCTAAGTATGTGGTGTCGCCCGGTGACGTTGACGAGAGCGACTGCATGTGTTTGCGCGAGCCCGAGCAGGGAGCCGACCCCGAGTGGCTCTACTGGGCCACTACTGGAGAATTTGTGAAATCTTTTAAATTGATCTATCGATCGATTGATCTCTTACATATCCATACACCCATAAAACCATAAAACCCAAACACATATAAAACCATAAAACCCAAACACATGTAAAACTATCGCTTACACATCGCTTGCCTATCCACCAATTGCTAATAATGCGGGCACTTCATCTAGTTCATTTTCCCGGTCGAGATCCGCTGGCTCTCACGTTTATATTGCATCCGCCTTCTCTTTTTTCAACTCATGAGCTTGAATGTCTGTTCGTTTCGCTCAGGCGACGGAATTTATAACCGGCTCCCTCCTTCCCTCCCTCCTTCCCTCCCTCCTTCCCTCCCTCCTTCCCTCCCTCCTTCCCTCCCATAACCTGCTACTATTTTATCGCACACGCACGCGCGCGCGCGCCCCAACGGTAATCAAGTAGGAGGTCCGCAACAACGCCGTGAGCCACCCCCGGCTGTTGCTGGCTGACCGAGCTACGTGGCTGAGCCTCCCCTTCTGCCAGGGGTCAACTTGTTTGACCGATGATAACTTCGTCAGCGCGTAAGTACTTTGTAGGGTTCTAGAGATAGGTTCTCGTCATTTGTGCGTAACTACTGGACATACAGACAAACATATATGTATATGTGTGTGTTATGAAATATAATGTGTTATATATGTGTGTTATGAAATTGTGCCCCTGCCGCCTCCTGATAAGGTCGTTCCCTAACCCTTCAAACGACCACGCACGCGCCAAGCAAACTCGATCTGGCTTGCCGTTATTGTATTGTTGTACACCATGGTGTATGCGTTACGAAAAATCTCACTGCTGCTGTCGATAAACAAGCGAACAGACGGACAAGCTTGAAGACACTTAAGAGTTTGTTCGATAATTATTTGGATGGTGTGCACATATTGCAGGCTGCTCTCGGACTGGCCTCGGAGCATCAACGTGTTCGTGGTCAGCGACGGGACGGCGGGGGGCAACATACTGGGTTACGCGTACATAGGGGGGTAAGTTTTTTCCGTTTCCCTCTCCCCTCTCTCCCATCCCCTCTCTCCCCTCTCCCCCATCCCCTCTCTCCCCTCTCTCCCATCCCCTCTCCACCTCCCCTCTCTCCCATCCCCTCTCCACCATCCCCTCTCTCCCATCCCCTCTCCACCATCCCCCTCTCTCCCCTCTCCCCTCTCCCCCAGCTCCTATCCCATCTCCCCCAGCCCCCAGCCCCCAGCCCTTTCCCGTCCAGTTCTTCTCCTCGACACCCTTAACACTATCTCTCTTTCCTTACTCTTCCATCGCTTTCTTTTCTTTCTCTCCCTATCATATGATGTAACATATTCTTACAAGAAATTGTTATTACTATTATTATTATTATTGCTTTTATTCCGACTACTATTATTGGGGCACAACGGTTATTTTGGCCTGCGGCTGCTTCTACTTATTGCAGGTCGGACTCTTCGCCGTCTGCGGGTATCGTGTTCCTCTCCTGGGACAGCGTCACACCCGCCGGGTACAACTCGCCCTCGCAGTACAACGCCGGAGCACAGACGCTACTCCACGAAGTACTCCACCATCTGGGGCTACAACACCCTTTCGGCCGCGACTCAACGTTGGCCGCTGGCTGCAGCGACGATGACTATGTCATTGACACGCCTACCACCCTGGGTACGTACGGATGTACGACAGCATGGATGGATGGCTGTACGACACGTTTGGATTGAGATTGCGTGCCTAGATATTCGACCGGCAGGTGGATGGGTCATATGTCATGTAATGTAATGTAATGTTACAGAGTGGGAGGCTTCTGGGCCGCTTTATCACATTGTCAGTTCTACGATTTATCACCTTATAGCACCATTCACCACTACCACATAGTCTTCGCCATACGAACTGTAAGTCCAAGGCGGCGGATCCAGCCTTCAGGGACCCCTCCTCATCCATTCACCCGAACATCCGCATGACGGTGCAGCAGCACAGTCACTGCTCGCTCTTTGCTCTTTCAGAGCAGACGAACGAACGGTTTTGGTTGGGCTGCACAACAAAATGCCACCGCCAGCTCCTCCTTTCCTCCCCCCCACACACCACCAAACAGACTGCTGACGCTGGAACAAAGACCAAACCAGGCGGTATTGTGTTAGTGCTGAAGGAGTCAGGTGCCGACTTGAATGGCTGAATGTCATCCATTCCCAGATTTGCTGGCACGATTTGCATGCTAAAACACTAAAGCAACAACATCCCCGCAATCTCGCGCCACAATAATGGCTATTGACCGTCCATGTCGGCTTTTACGGACGCGGGGGGCCCACCCAAGTGCATCCGTGTGGATCCCTCTTGGATCACGTAACCCTCTTCCTGTAACTAGATAAGCACGGCAGAAAACCAGCAGAGAACAATACCAACACATACACATACACACACACAGATTCCCCCTCTCTCGCCTCCCGCCCGCCCAGGACCCGTATCCTCTAGTTCGTACTATTCCACGGCACTGTCGTACTGCATGGAGCTCTTTTGGGGCCGTGACGGTGGCAACTGGGACGTCGCCTTTCAGCGCCTAAGCAGCGGCCCTTTGGGGATACCTGAAGCGGATATGAACGCCTGGGCTGACTCATGCCCCACTAGAGCCGGGTACGACGAGCTGGGCAACTACATGACGTACAACACTGCCGTGTGCTATGCGGCGCTGGGGCACCTTACTGCGGCGCAGGCGCAACGAGCGCATTACGTGACGGCGGAGATGAACCCCGTGCTATATGCCTGGGGACAGTACTACGCCAAGACGGGGGTGCCGCCGTCGCAGGCGCCGGGGCTACAAGTATTAGCGGCGTCACCACCTGAGCCGTACATGGATGTCTGCAAGGTACGAATGTACGATGTTTTGGTGTGTGGTGGCAGCTCTCGGGCGACTGGCGTGGGGAGCGCCGCTCAGTAAGGGGTTACAGGAGCAACCCACAGCCGCAGCTTGGGTATTAATTCCGCGCTGCTATCGCTTTTTTTGGGTAAAAATGTAAAAGATATGGGCTGCCTATGGAAGTGTACGAACTTCTTTTTATGTTCGTACGCTACGCACGAAGGGCTCCCATGTCGAATGATTTTAGGGATGACAGCAGAGGCGGCGTGGGTAAGCACCCACGGAAACAGATGCACGCACATTCCGACAAGTGCACCTTGGCAGGGACCTTGGCAAGGAGGGGTCATTGGCGAGCGAGTTCATATCTCCGTACCACTGTACGATTCTTTATTATGTGCAGGTCACTGGCACCGGCTGCGCGTGCAAGAGCAAATGGTCGTACGGTTCATCCTCGTATTCGTACTGCGTGCAGCTTGACGATAAATCTTCTCGCCTCTGGTGAGTGACCTCCGCTGGCTATACCGCGGGGGCTAACTGGCCCGCGCCGGTGCGTGTATAGGGCAGAGCTAGCATGCACGTGTAGGCTAAGTGGACAGAGGGGAAGCACGCAGCCCAAAACATGGAGCGTGAGTTACTAGCTGAGCTCTCGGGTTGGAGGGTATGAAAATGCCTGGAAGGTGCAGACATTGGTGATCTAGAACATTCTGATGTACCCAAAACCCTGCACGCACGCACTCACGCAACCTGCGCACTTCAAGGAGGATCGGCGCCGCTCGGGACGCCGATATCATTTTGCACTATCAGGGCTAGCTATCCCTCGCTTCGCTTCATGTTAACGCATATATCTATTCTCACGTATACGCGGATGTAAACGCGCACACCTATACAGGTGCCAAGTGGAGGACCCCGCGACATGTTCGAGCTGCACCAACTACCAGACGGCTTGCGTCATGACCTGCGGAGGTGAGTTGACTGGTTTAAACACTGGTTTACACATACATGTGTGCATGGGCGCGTTGGTAATAATAATAATATAATGATGATGATGATGATGGTGACCAAAACTAGGGGGCGGCTTTTCAAAGCCGAAAAGGGGCTCCGCCCCGGTGCAGCCACTTACAGGAAAGCTATCTTTGTCGCGCTCCGATTTATCTGGAATGCCTCCTTTGGCATTTCGATATAGAATGGATATAGCTTCTAATTTTATCTTTTGCGGAGCAAGATATGTAACTTTATGTTTAACTCGGAGCCATGGAAAGCTATCTTCGCGCTCCGATTTATCTGGAATGTCTCCTTTGGCATTTCGATATAGAATGTATATAGCATTCAAACGCTATTTTTTGCGGGGCGAGATATGTAAGCCACTGATTGACTGACTGACAACAGTGAACCCGGGGGGCTCGGCCCCCCGAATGGCGCTTCGCGCCCGGGGCCTCGCCCAAAAAGCAGTTGCTCCATCTATTATTAATCGCTTGTGTGCCCCCCCTTGCTCTCAGCCGCCGCGACCCCGACAGTCTGCAAGACACCCCCGTTGCCTGGAGCCATCTCGCCGCCACCACCGCCACCACGAATCCAGATGCGTCCGCTGCCGCCACCGCCACCGCCAAGGGCCGTACCCAGCGCCTGCAAGGTAGGAACGTTCGACAGTACAGCGCGAGGCCCTCGTTTCGCATGAGCCGCTTTACGCTTTAGTCGTGTACTCTTTCAAAATCTTGATATTGCTGCTATTCGTTTGTGCGTGCCACTCCCGAAAATGACGTTGCCGCTAACGGCTCGCGCATTAATGATATTGCTTCTGCCGTTACACCGTTACACATACGCTAAGGTCTTGTGTACAAGTCACTTACACTGCCGTCGCTCACTTTAGTCTACCTCCCTTTTTTTTCCGTTTCTGTGCCATGTATGGCAATGGGTGTTGTGACAATCTACCGCTACGCTGCCTACTACGACGTGGTTTACTCGTACATCGTTACGTGACGTCGTACGGCAGAAAGCCATGAATGGCTGTGATTGCCGTAGCACGTGGCAGTACGGCGATGCCTATGCCAGCTACTGCTCGGCTCCGGACGGCAATAAGCAGCTGTGGTGAGTACGGCGGACCGGCAGTACGACACGTGCATACAAATGTGTCCCAGAGCTCCTGGCGGATGTGTCATACATAGGTCATAGAGGTCACGTAGGCTGTGTGTCACTAGATCGATAAATAGGTAAATAGACCCGGGTGTTGTACATCGCTACGGAGAGCATCACCACCGCCACCGCCACCGCCACCGCCATCAGCAGCAGCTTCACAAGGTGTAAGCGTTACGGTCACAGAGTCCGCACAGGTGCTGAGGGGTCCGTCAAAGCGGGTGAGGGGGGGGCATGGACCGGTCATAAAAGTGTTAAGTGTTACAGTGTCGGGGGCGACTGTCGTTTGAGCGCAAAGCCCCGTTTGAGCGCAAAAAGCGCCGTTTAGCGCTGCATGCCGAGGTCTCTCAGACCTCTGGAGCGAGAGCTATAGCTAACGCCAGCGTGGGAGCCTCAGTCATGGTGGTGGTGGTGGTGCGCATGTCTGTGAAACCCGAGTTCACTCCCTCTCATCCTCAGCCCACAAGCCATCATAAGCGGCCGCGGGGGGCCATTCCCCAAACACATGTAATTCATCCTCCACCGTTCTGCAGTCGCAAAGCCTGCAGGTACGTGCGGCACGGCACATTCACGGTCGCTGGGGCTCATGTGGAAATGTAGGGTGGAACTCAAGAAGGATGTACGACGGAACGCGTGCCTGGGTGTTTTCTTCTGAAGTGGGTCGAAAAAGTCCGGGGTTTTAAAGTTATATCCCATCCCCACCACGCACATTTGAAGGAGAAAGGGGTGTTGGATGTCCTTTCTTGTTTGCATGAAGAATCGTGAAAACGCCGAAGACGATGCTATAAGGGCTGTTGGCCTGTATATTTTTGGGAGCTCCTCGATTCGTGGTTGTTCTCTTCCGGGTATTGCTTTGTTGCTCACGTCGTATACATAACTATACAGTATGAATCACGAGTGATGGACTGATTCGTAATTTTGGGCGGTTTGATTGAAGAGATTCCACATTACCACACGCACCAGAATGCACAAATGTTGCCAACAGACTTAGGATAAGGGAAGAAGCAAAAGACACACGCGCGCGTGTGTGTGTGTCTATATGCAACATGCATGGTGGCAGGTGCCAGACGGTTCCAACCTGTCCGTCGTACTTCACGGATCCGTACCAGTGGTGCTCGCCAGCACTCTCCGCATCGTACTGCCAGAGTAAGTGTCGTCAGTCGATCACAAACACACCAAAACACACATTTGCGAATTTCGCGGGAAAATGGAATGATGCTGTAAGGCGGCCGGCTAGGAGTAGCACTGTCGTGTAGGCTGAACGAATATACGCATATTGGGTTTGTTTTTTTTACAGCTTTTTGCACAGCATTGCATTACTTCTCATTGCATCGCTTCTGGATTCATGACCTCGTCCATTCAAACTTCGAAAGCGTTCCAACCTCCTCCCTCCTCCCTTGGCCCTTCCGCCTGCCGTCCAACTCAACATTCCACCCAAACATCCCGACAGGCGAACCCATCTACTTCTCTACCATCCGCATTCCCCCGGTGCCTCCACCCGCACGGTCGCCCCCTGCTCCTCCCCCTGCTCCTCCCCCTCCTCCGCCTCCTCGCCCTAGCAGCACGACGATCCAACCTCCTCCCCCGTCAAGTAGCCCCCCCAGCAGCAGCAGCAGCAGTAGCTCCCCTGCCCCGCCTCCAACTCGCAGCCCTCCACCCAGCCCTCAGCCCCAACCCTCGCCAAACCCTCCACTTAAGCCTCGACCGAAACCCGCACCCAGTCCTTCACCCAGCCCTATGCCTGTAGCGCGGAGCCCTCCCCCCAATCCGCCATCCAGCCCGCCACCCAAACACCCCTCCCCCCTCCCGCCTCCCCGCAGTCCTCCGTCTCGAATCATCACCCCTCCGCCTCCAACTCACAGCCCT